CCCCAAAACCCCAAAACCCCATAGCATAGAAATAATTCTATAGTGGTAATTTAAAATTTTCTTTCAATAAATTAAAATTAAGATTATAAAGTATTGATAGATGAAAGCTAAAAAGTATATAAAGAAATTAGATATGTTTGGACATCCAGTTAGTCTCACTTACAAGAACTCTCAAAAATATAACTCTCTTGCAGGTGGGTTAGTAACTCAATTATTTTAAGGCCTGTAATCTAGATGATTATAGCGGTTTACTTCATTTCAGAGGTTATTACGGTATTCTAAAGAGGAAAAGTGACTATTTTAAGTACCACGTAATATTCCGATATAACATTCAATGACGATCCTATTATCTTGACAAAATCAAACTTTGAGATTGCTATAAATTTTCTAGATAATTCTTTAAAAGATGGTCCAGACAGAGATTTAAGTGAATATTTTTCTATAGAAGTAACAGTTGCATCTTTCGTAAACAAAAATGGAAATTATACATACCGAAACAATTATTTTGGAGTAGAGTATTGTCAATCTGATCGGTTTAACAATAATAGTTAAGCCCTGAATTTAATCGGAATAACCGGAAAATATATATGCTTAGAGAAGAATTTTTAAATAGCTTTGTATGGTGCGACATATGCTGTTAATGCATCCTTACTTTCTGTCTAAATTTGTAGGTGCAATCAAACAGTTCTTGATATTATACATCCTAATAAAAGCAAAAAATGCAAAACTGATAATGAAATAGATGATTTAATGCCAACCACCACTGCAGAGGTTTTATTCATGTAGCAGGCTTTTTATTAGGATGATTTTAAAAATCCTATTAAGAACTACTTCCATTCTTATTAAATTGGACTCCTGAAAAATTAAAGGTAATATTAATCCAAAAAGATCCAAAGAAACTCAGTAAATCTTTAAGATTCATATCTTGCTAATATTTTAGCGACAGAAAACTTGGAATATATCTTCACTAATAATGATCTATCCATGTAGAATGATTTTTTGAAAGGTAATTGATGTCTTGCTGAGATAGTCTACTAAAAAGACGATAGATAAGATACTATTCAAAGATAGGCCTATACAATTCTTGATGCCATTACAAATACTGGTGGATTTATAAGTATCATTGTAATATTTGGGTAATTATTGATCGGTAGGATTTAACAAAATCTATATTATTAGAGCCTTATGAAAACCAATTTTCTCAAATTTGAGGATAAAGATTTTAAGATCAAATCAACGGATATGCACAAAGATATATTCAATAAAAAAGTAAAAAAGGATAGATTTGTCATTGATTAGTCATCAGCAAACGAACAATTAGAAAGTTTATAAAATATTTCAAAGATTTTAAAAGATATTGGGGGGAAAAATGATTAGCAAACAGAAAATTTTGATGATGACTTTAATTGGAATCAAGAATCTAACACTTAATAGAAATCCAGTTATTATTTACAGATTCTTGATTTTATCTTAAAATTAAGGCCTGCAATCTTCTCTTTTTATCAAAATCAACTATATTATTTCAAATAGTGGATTAAAAGAAATAAAAAAAAACTTGGAAAAATATAGAAGATACAAAACTAATATAAAAATGGAGTGTAAAGATTGGAAAAATAATTTGATATTGCAAAAATTTTGAAGAAAATGAAAACCTTAGATTTATTAACTGATATTTTTACATCCAAATATCAATGAGCATTTCTTCCATATATGTCTTAAAACATTTTGAATATCAACCATTAAAAAGATCAAGGATAATAAAATAGTAAAAAAGAAACTCTATAGCAATTTCTAAGATAAATTGAACTGTAAAAAAGAAAAAGCAAAATAGATAAGAAAATCTATAAAAACTTAAAAAATTCTTTGGATTATTTAAATATGTAAAATTGTGAAAAGATTTCAGTTGATATTTCAAAAGTAGATATTACAGCTTAAACAGATTTACATTCATAAAATGGGAAAAGAGATAATTTGATTGGTATGGTGATAACGAATGCATACAAGAAAGAGCAATTTAAAGAATAAATTCAAGAAAATATTTGATTAAAAGTAATTATGATATTTATTATGAAATAGTGGCCAAAAGCTCAAATAAAAAATAAATATTTTATATCTTTAAACAAACTTTTTATGTAATCAATAATCTTCAAATTTGATGAAATAAGGGGTTTTGGGGTTTTGGGGTTTTGGGGTTTTGGGG